GACTTTCTCGGTCTACATCAATAACTTGAACACTACTGGATACATCTACACCAAATCCCTACGGCTCATGGGCCTAAATCATTAATCCAACCCTGTTACGTATACTAGAAACATCTACTTGAAATATCTTCATCAAAGTCATCCTGCAGTTGGCTCTCCAGATTTATTTTCTTGCTATTTTCTCTTATTACACTGAACCAATGTATACAAAATTAAACTGGTGCTGTATAGATGACCTATTAGTGTTGTACATAAGACCAAGTCCCCACACTAACTACTAGGAGGCTAGACTCCAGGGTCAGGAGGCTAAGGACCACTCACCAGTCTCTGGGACAGCTGTTTCTTTGCTATCATCTCCTTTTCCAGCTGTTTTTCCTTCTCTTCAAGTTTAGCTCTCAGCTGTGAGAAGTTAAATAGAGTGCATTTTGGTGAAATTTGTGAAAAACCAAGCCATAAAGATTATACATCCTCACAGAGTTGCAAAAGATGTATTCATTGTTGCAGTATGCAAGTTATGTTAACTCATGTGTCGTTCACAGTCATAGCATGCCAACAAATTGTAACAAAGTGTTATTTTATCAGGCTTAATTCTACCATGCCAATACATATATTGTGTGACTTACCTGTTCTACTTCACTGCTTGGTGATGCACCATTTGACCCCTGTAACACGAAACCATCAAAGCCATCAACATTCCATATCCAAATACATTCTCAACTATATGGAAGATTTCGTTTTCACATAAAAAAAACAGACCTTTAACAATGAAACTAAAGTATGTAAGTCTCCCAATAATTCTCCATGGTTTTTTTCTGAACAACAATTTCAAAATCATTGTAATGATATAGTGTTCCTAAAGTAAACAATGTTACTGATACCACAAAATGTGTCGTAAAAGTTGTGCAAGAAGTGCGACAAGAAAAGTTCCCATCAGACTACCCAAGTCTATTAAAGCACCATTGGAATATATTTTTTTTAATATGCAAAAGTTGCAATAAAACCTAACAGGGTACTACAACAATTTTACTAAAACTAGATTCTTCAAAAAGTTAGTGTGAAACACCAAATAAGGATAGTGACATTAGTATATGACAAACGTTATTCTCTGTATCTTATTCTACTACACAGTGCTGTAGGCTTGGACATTTTTAATGCAATATAACAATATAACATGCAAACTGTTGCCTTCCATCCTAACTGGGTTTTTTCAAAGACAGCAGGATATCCTAGACCAAGATGTACCTTGCTTTTCTCCATTTCAATCTTGAGTTTATCCACCAAGGCTTGCTCCTGCGCCAGGGAGTCCTGACCAGTTTTTATAATGCCATTCAGTCTCACATTGGTTGTTGCTAAATTTTTTGCTTTTTTATTTTCTTCTGCTAACAACCTCTTTAGTTCTTCTATTTGCTGTTAATTGTTAAAAGAAAGAAATTTGGTGATATCTATAACACTTATAAAAGGATTAATACTTTGCTATGAAGTCTATTTTGTTTGATCATGAAGCATTTCCTAGAAACTATAGAATGTCTGTAAGACATGTGTGCAGTATTGAGATGGAAATCTTATTTCCTAATAAATCCAATCACAAATGAACAGCAATCACCACAAGCTAAAGACTTTTACCATCACCCTTGTCTGATCAAACAGATATTGCCAGATAAGAAAAAACAGTAAATATGATATCTTACATTTAGGGCATCAACTTTAATAGTTCTGTCTATTTTCTTTGTAATTTTTTTTTCAAATGTGCACCTCACAGAAATTTGACATGTTGATACCAGAATATTTTATTTACTGCTAGACTCATTTCTTTTGAACACTGTTTTCCAGTTTTACTTGTTAGATGACAGTAATATCAAAAGTGCCAGTATGTGAGGCTACTGATGCTACATGACAATGGTGCAATACAGACAGACCAACACTATAATGAACACTGTGGGACAGGCACCATTATCAGAAATGTCTGACAGTACAACAAGTTTACCAAGATTGAAACTGTGACCATGTTCTTAGGGGGAAAGGCTAATACATCATGATACTGAACCTCTGTCTGAATATTAGTGGAAATCTGCCCACAAATGATATGTATACTGCCTTAATAGAAATCT